CAACATATCACAAAATCAACATATTTTTTTTATGTACTTTAAACTTTAGCGTATTTTAAAAATTAAATTTATTTTGTACTCTATGTATTAATGTAGATTTATTTTTTTAAATCTAGAAACGCAAATTTATTATGCAGAATTTAAATCTGATGTAATTTAATCTGTTAATCTGATTTAATTAAATCTGATTTAATTTAAGAATTAAAAAATTTCTTGAATTTAGATTTACAAGAAATTTTTTTCTCATAATTATATATTTATTATTAGTTTTTTAAAATAATTAAACTTAACTTTGATTAAAGTGTGTTAAGATGTGAACTTTATTTAATATAATTTTTTTTCTCATAATCATATATTTTTTTTAAACGAATTAGTTATATAAAAAATACATATGTGCTAGAGAACGAAATCGTATATATGATAATGTATGTCACAAACAAGATGTACAAGTCATGGAAGATGTACTGTTATCTTTTGCCACACACGCGCCAACACACATTTTATCGTAACTGGTTAGTGGAGACATACATGGCATTATAATTCCTTTTTGAAAGTGGGAATTGAACGTGCTAAGATGATAATATCTTTTATTTTCTTTATAGAAAATTATAAATTTAGTACAAACAGTATATATTATATATATTGTATAATTTAATATAATATAAACTGTTATATTGTTAAATATAATCATAATTATTTTTATTTTATATTCATAATTTTTATTTTAATATTTATTTTATAAATGTAGTAGAAAATGATTTAGAATTGACATAAATATGACAAATTTTGTATAAAAACTAATATATTCAAACCATTTTATTCGATAGATTTTGTCTAGCATTCAATATTTTTATGAAAAAAGAAATTTAATCAAATTAATCCATAATTATCGTATTTATAAAATTAATTACACTCGTTACCATTTAATTTATATTGTCAATGTACCAATTTTTTCGACAAGACGATTCATATTTCCCGCATTTTATTATCTATGTTTCGCCATTGATTATACCATTAATGATCAACAAGTAATATTGTCATTGAAACAGATATTTTACTCGAAATAAATATATTAAGTAGTGATGGGGTTAATTCAATTGATAATTTAAATTTTTTAAGGATATATCAATTTTTTGGAGGAATATAAGAGATAATATAAGAGATAATAATATAAGAAATCTTGTGAAATGTGAAATAGAGATTAAAAAAACATATTTGTAATAAAAATACATCAATCATATATATACATGTATAATACAGTATTATAAAATAAATATGATATTAAATAATATATAACAATAGTAATGATAATGAAGAAACACACAAAATAAAATACTATATAATATCACTAATGTTTATAATTTTTTTTACGATACCAAAATAATCAATATTTATTTAAATAAAAAATATTTTACAATTTCTTAATGATCGTCATCCATAGAATTTAAAATTTAGAATTTATATTAAAAATGAAAAATAAGTATTTTAAATTTTAATTTTATAATTCTTACATTGAAAATTAAACAAAAAATTATAATTTGTATTATAGTAGTATTAGTTTGTAACTTAGTTATACTATTATAATATAAAGTTATATAAATTAACATTAATAAATATTGACATTTCTAATTCTCATTTCTGTATACTTAAAATCGATATTAATATCTGTTTCAATATGAAATAAATATTTTTATTTATTATACACACACGTATTAGCACACATTCTTATATATACACACATCAATAATACAAAAATAATACGAAATAAACACGATAACCGATAGTAGTATGACAGGTTAGAATACACAAACTGACAATATTTCTACATAATCTCGAACATCAATTGAACTTAACAAATATGACTATCAACATTATCAATAACACTAACATTCATATCCAGAACAATAAACTATCTTACAAAACTTGAAAGAGTGTCGTTCCCATCGCTAACTGCGAGCGCACGCGAGAACGCATGAACGCAGGCCAGCCATTCGGTAGCAAGCGCGCGCGCGAGCGTACAGTGAAAACGTAAACATGGCCGCGGAGAGTAGCGAAGGTTTGCCAATATCTCCGTCCGAGAAATCGTTAACCGGTAGCTTAGTGTCCGAGGAGAATGAGAAAAGTGTATCGCGATCGCCATCGACTTACTCGATACGGGAGGACAAGTGGCCGGATCTAGTGGTATCGAGGCCTAGAAAACTGGACGCTTGGTGGTTACCGAGACGTAAGTACTACATAGCACGATACACAGGTGCATGTTTTCGATCCGCTTTCGGCGCGCGTTTTAAAGTCGGCAGTTTCGGCTACGTCGATGCAAAGTGCGCGTGATTCAACGTCGCTCAACCA